ACACCAGGTTATTCGCCGGTCGTCGCCGGTCTGGCTACCTCTACTGGCCTGGCGGTCACTGGCATATCCGTGGGAGATCAGACGGGATCCCGAGTTTCCCGGGTGCCTATGGTCGTATGTGATTTTCTGGTTTTGTATGGAAACGGCTGTCATGTCTGTCTGTGTGAAGAGAATATATATATATGTGGTGAAGATCAAGCCGAGCATCATCGGTGTTGAGTACCTAGATTGAGCAGCTTGCCTCTGTTCTTCGCGAGATAGGATGCTACACCTCTGTCTTTCATTCAGGTGCATGCACTGTTATTGTCGTAGTTTTACCAGGTATTCTTGACGGTAAGAGCTGTCGACAACGGCACTCATTTTCTGGAGATGAATACAGGTTGAATTTCGCTAGGTCGGTGAAATGGCCGTTGACGTTGAAGCTCCGGGCCCACGTCCACTTGCCGACCCCTCCTTCCGGACGGCGGACAAGCGGGCAAGAGATTCCCCGCAACCCCCCGCTGCCGACCGCCGGCCCCCAGATGTGGGGAGTTGGCGGAGATCATTGTGGAGGAAAGGCGGGGTGCGGGATGCCGGCTATGGCCCGGATCTGTGGGTGTGTGACGGACCTGCGTCACCGGCTTCAAGCGAAGCCGATGATACCTACAGTACTCATGCATTGCAGCTGTCAACCCATCAAGCTATTTCCTTTCATCCGTTCTGTCTTCTCACTCTCCTTCCCTCTTACATCTCAAACCCAATGTCCTTCACGTTAAGACATCACCTCCGCGGCTCACTACAACAACACCGGGTATCCTCGTACTCACGACTTACACGGCCACTCATCAACAACACCAGACTATTCACCACCACCCCAACCACCAAAATGCGTCTCCCCTACGTCGCTAACCCCCCGCCCACCTCTTCGGAAGCCGAACAAGCCATCGTCGACCGCATCACCGCCCGCCGTGCCCCTCGTCCTCTCCAACCGCTTGACCTGACCCTCTTGCACTCCCCGCCCGTCGCCGACGGCTGGAACTCCTTTCTCGGCGCCATCCGCACGCAAACCATCTTGCCTGCCGACGAGCGCGAGCTGGCCATCTCCCGCGTGGCCGTCTGCAACGGCGCCTGGTACGAGTGGCACCACCATGCGCCCCTTGCCGTTCAGGCGGGCGTTAGCGAGGGCGAGGATGGTCTGGGTGTGGTCAAGAGGCAGGAACCGCTGCTCATTGAGGAGGGGGACCAGAAGAAGGGTGGGCTGAATGAGAGGCAGTGGGCGGCCGTGTGCTTTACGGATGAGATGACGAGGAATGTGAAGGTTAGGGATGAGACGTTTGAGAAGGTTAGGGGGCTGTTTAGCGAGAGGGAGGTGGTGGAGTTGACTGCTATTGTGAGTTTATCCCCTTCGAGTTCGGGAGGTCTTTTGGAGTTTGTGTTTGGCGTGGGTTGATGGGCTGGGAAAGAGGTAGAGGGCGAATGGGTGAGAAGTGGAAAGACCGATGGAAGAGAAGGAAGTGACGGGGTAGGGAAAGAGTGTGGGGAAAGTCAGGAAAGAGCGAGGAAAAGGGTGAGGCAAGTGTGGGGAAAGAATGGGGAGGGAGCGATGAAAGATTGAGGAAGGAGCAGAGGACGGGAAATTTGATCCAGTTTGGAAGACTGAAAACAACCTGGGCGGGTGACGGGCAAGAAGTTCCTAGAGGAGTGCTCAGAGAGCTGACCTTGACTCGAACAGATCGCCTGCTACAACTGCGTGAGCCGCTTCCTTGTTGCGCTGGATGGTAAGTCTTTATCTCGTGGCTTTTTGCCGATTTCGATTTGATACTGACTATGTCGTGCAGTTGGAGAGAGGAACGGTACTGGACCGGACGATGCTGCTCACTGATAGGGGCGATATGTCATGGTGATGATAGTGCTTCCAGAACAGTACAAATCGAACAAGAGGTTGAACTTCAAGCTCAGTTAACGTTACATACGGTTTCTTTCTCGCAAACAGACCTATGGTGTCTCTGGGCTTCCTCTTCTCTTTAAGTCACTAACTCCTTCTGTGGCTGAAATCTATCGGCCTCGGACTTCTGAAGTCCACAAATCGGTTAAAGAATAGGTGAGCCTCCGAGTTTGAGACGAATACTTTCCCTTTCGGCCGAGCGCCGTCTCTTTTCAGGCTGAGCTCATTGGTGCGGCGCATCTTGGTTCCCATCGTAGATGTAATTTCTCGCATGAACATTCCTCGGGAGTTGGGGTCCATGTCGATCTACCGGGTGATTACATTGTTTGGCTATGAGCAAGCACGATCTAGGCGTGGAGAGGAGCCTCATGACGTGCTCGACGCTTATGGCTAGCCCATTCTTCGCCGCCGTTGCATGACAAAACGCCATGTTAGTTGACGTGCTGTGAGCATAGTGCGTATATAACGAACTCGGAGACTTATCATAAGATGGCTTCTAGCCCACGAGACTACAAAGAAGGAAGAAGGTGTATACACCACGCCGACGAGTTTACCTGATCCACAATTACCTGTCTTACCGAAAGCAACCACCTCTGTAAAAGAGTCACAAAAGATGATGTCCAGTTGTGAGAACACACATACGATCGTCCCCACTATAGGAAACAGCGTGGCTCAAAAGACAAAGCACACATTCTGCGCCCAGACGATATCACGCTTGCTGTCTTGGTCCTACCTCCAGTCACTGACCGAGACGAACACCCAAGAGACAGCCAATTCCACGTTTCTTCTTCCCTTCAAACCCTTTGCCAAATCGGGAAGGCGTGATATCTTTTTGGTGGAGCGTCTTCCTTGGATTCACCACCTCAGCTCTGCTTTCATCAAGCGCCGAGACCAAGAGCAACGCCACGAGTCTTCGTTGGTTTTAAGACCTCGATACAGCAACTATCAAGCGCTGAGGGGGGTAGCAACGCCACGAAGAGAAGAAGAGGGGGTGATGAAGAACCAACTTCAGTATCGACAGAGCACGAGGTAGAACTTCACTCCGAAATGGTGCAGACTCGGGAGGAAAAGAGGTGCCAACGACATGTTGACAAGAGGAGAGGGGAAATTGTTCCTCGCGAATGAGAAGCACATCCATACTTGTGATGGTGTGTGCTGGCGGACTTCCAAGTGAATGAGCGGGCGGCACAGATACTCGCTTATTCCTCTAAGCGAACTCAACGAACATAAAAGGAGGCATCACGGGCAGCTTCCATGTCGATATCAAATCTGCAGTTCTTCAGGCTATCTCTCTTCCAACCAGAGAGTGAAGCTCTTTGCAACCTTGTTAATCCTCATTACATCTGAGGAATATCCAAAACCTCACACCACAAGAACCTCACACCTGGCCCTCGGCCAAACCTCAATCATGGATTCCATCCGCCTTCTCACCAAGCTGGACACCCAAACCCTCCGTGACTGGCCCACCATCCTCACCTTCCTCTCCATCCTCCTCCTCCTTTACGCTCTCACCTCACTCACCAAACGGCGCCCTCACCTCCCCTCCAACACCCCTCCCCTCTTCAAAGCATCGGACTGGCCCATTCTCGGCTCCCTCCGGTTCTTCACGGACCGCTACCGTTTTTACAACGAAGGCATCCTATCTTCCAAAACCGGCAACTTCAGCTTTTTTTTTGGCAGGCATCACCTCGTCGGGCTTTCCGGTGTGGAAGCCCGCCGCGCCTTCTTCGAGAACAAAGCGCTCAACATGACGAAAGGGTACGCAGTCTTCCTGACCGTGACCCCGCCCACGCCCGAGGATAGCAAACCGGTAAAAGAGATGCACTACGATTTGCAAGATAAGTGGTTCGCCAAGTACCTGTTCAATTTCATGAAGAGCGAGTCTCTCGAGAAATCCCTCCCGTTGGTGGTTACCGACGTCCGCGCAACTCTCGAACAGCTAGCCCTCGCCTCCTCTAATTCCCCAGCCGGCACCAACGAGGCCATGACAGACCCATTCGACACAATCAACCGCCTAATCTTCCAACTAACCATGCGCACGCTGGGTATCTCCTCGTGGGCCTCTTCTTCTTCACCCATGCTTTCCAAATCGCTGAAGTGGTTCGAAATAATCGACAAATCCACCTCTCCCATCCGGATTATTTTTCCATGGCTGCCGACGCCAAACCATTTTCGAAGAATGACCGCTTCCGCGCAGCTGTATTTTGCTGTCAAGAATGAGTTTGAACACCGCCGCGGACAAAGGGAGACTGTGGGAGGACAACAAAGAAAGGAAGAAGAAGAAGAAGGTGATGATGATGATGCAATGCAATATCTTATGGATAACGGCGAGGACGCGATGAAGGTGCTTATTTTTATCATTGCGAGTTTGTATGCGGCACATCTGAATACGAGCACTATGGTTTGTTGGTTGGTTGTTTATTTGGCTGCGGAAGAAAATGGGGAGTGGGTTGGGAGGGTGAGGGAAGAGATTGATGGGGCGTTGAGGAGACATAGACAGAACGGCGAGAAACAGAGTGTTGGGGAAGTATTGGCTGGTCTGACGCTGGATGAGTGGGAGGCTGAGTTCCCCGTGATTCAGTTGTGTCTGAAGGAGACGACGAGACTACAAGTTGTGGGAACTTCGTTTAGGAGAAATGTGAGTGGGAAGGATGTGGTACTGGGGAGTAAGGGGGAGGTGGTGCCGCATGGGGGTTTTGCTGTGAGTTTTTTTTCTCCCGTTTATTTTTTTTAATTTTTTTTTTTTTAATTTTTTTTTTAATTTTTTTTTTTTATTTACAATTCCTTGTCTTTTTTTTCCTTTCTTTCTTTTTCATCCTTTCTAAGAACACGACAAACTAACTGACCACAACAGACCTACCTCCTAGACGACGTCCACGTCAACCCATCCATCTACCCTGACCCTCTCCGCTGGGATCCAGGCCGCTACCTGCCCGATCGTGCTGAGGATAAGAAGGAGCCGCTGGCTTTCCTGGGCTGGGGAGCGGGAAGACACCCGTGCTTGGGCATGAGGGTAAGACTTCTTCCTTTTTCTCTTTCCCTCTCTTCCTCTCCGGTGTTAGTGAAGGGGACCTAACATGATTTTTCTATTAAAACAGCTGGCAAAACTCGAAATCACCATCCTCGTCGCCAACTTCGTCGGGATGTTTGACTTCTTACTGTGTGACGCAAAGGGAAGACACATGTCTGAAGCCCCGGAGACGAACAGGAGCAACCATACGTCTAGTGGACCGGATACGCCGGTGAGGTTGAAGTATAAGCTGAGGGAGCAGCAATGAGTGAGTGGGCGAGCTGAGGAAACAAACAACCTTACTAACAAAGGGATGGATGGGATATGAGAACTTGGGTCAAGGGATTGCGCTGTTTATTTCTCTTTCTTCCTGTCGACAGCTAGACAGCCGTGATGCCAATGAACGAACGATACGATTCTGTGCACCCAAAAGTTGGTATATCGAAGGTTGGAGAGTCAGTAGTGATTGAACCTTTGTGGTTTGTGTTAGGTACATCTTTTGGCGGCTTGTTAGAGTTTTTACACAAGACAGATCAGGGAAAGCAAATACGAGAGTGGATTAAAAAAACTAAGAGAGAAAGAGAGGATTGAAGGCGAACAAAATGGACAAAAAGTTCAAATTAAAGGCGAAAAAAAAGCAGAGAAAAACATACAACACCAGGGAT